TAACTCAGTGCTCGTCTGAACGACAGAACAGTTTTAGGCTTTGCTTGAATTTTTGCCATTGCATTACTGGTCACTGTTGTTGCATGAAAAAACCAAATTGCAGCGCTGTGTGTGTAAATGTGCAGATTAAGGACTGGGAATATTATATAAGATGCTCTTCATACGTCAGAATGGGAGCGAAATCAGATCGGCTTTATTTTTTACTCAATCAAAAATTGCTGGGTTTTTTAAACCCAAATTTGGGTCAAATATGGACAAACCCAAAATGCAATTAAAATTTTTACAGTTGAACGTGAAAGTAGAAGTTGGGTTAGAATTTGAAACTCAACATTTTGGTTTGTCCATATTTTACCCAAATTTGGGTTCAAACAACCAAGCATTGTTTAAAATGCATGTTTGTATAGAAAGGCTCACCAAAACAAAGTTACGAGGTTATCACTTTTCACATTTTCTGAGTTGGTAGATGCAACAATTATAGCACTTAAACACTTTTCCCCAAAATGTATATTTTCGTGATATATCCACTTTAAATTGATTGAAAATCTTTGGGATATGCTGGACGCTTGCATTGTCAATACAAAAAAATCTCAATTTTCATGATATGTCCCACTTCGAAACACCGAAACACGAGGAATGTTGTCTCCTCAGGACCCTCGGCGTGTCTTGTAACCTAATTATAATAAGATCCTCTTCATACATCAGAAGGGGAGCGAAATCTCACCAAACGGTTGTCACTTTTCACGTTTTTTTGAGTTGGTAGAAGCACCGGAGACCTGATTATAGCACTTAAACACTGAAAAATAATATTTTCATGATATGTCCCCGTTTGAAACGCAGAAACATGAGGAATGTTGTCTCCTCAGGACCCTCGGCGTGTCTCGGACCCCGTCACCCTATTGCAGCTGTCATCCCTCAAAGGTCGAGCACCAATTATCTGGCTGTTAGTAGTTTGGCTGTGACCCTGTACGTTTAGTTATTTTTGCACATGACATCTTGATGGGGGCTTTCTCCGAACATGGCCTGGGCTGGTGGCCCCCGCACACGGTCAGGGTGTTGTGCTGTGTTTCGGGACGTCTATCCGCCTGAAGGTGACAGTGGAGAGAAATGAGGCCAACTGATCCACAGTGAGTGACAGCACTGAGACGAGCGGCGCCTGCTGCTCAACACATGCTCAGGGGAACATGCACACGCTTAATGTTTACCTTCGTGCGTTTCGACGCTTAAAAAGAAATCACACTTTTCTGGGCGTGCATCTTTATAATTGTTCATGCAAATTCCACTGTTTTTTTTTTTTGTTTTTTTTTTTTTACATAATCTACACATCCTAAAGTACTCAATAAAATATGGAACAGAATAAAACGTTTTAAAAGATAATTGCAACTTTTTATCGCACAATTGCGATTTTATTTTTACTTTATTTTCCACAATTGCGAGATATAAAGTCACAATTCTAAGAAAAATAAACAAAAATAATTTTATAGTTTATATCTCACAATTCTGACTTACAACACGCAAGTGTGACTTTATATCACTTTAAACTGCGATAAAAAGTCGCAATTACCTCGTCGGAATTGTCGGAAACAAACTTCCATAGTAAATGCCATGGGATGTGAATTTGGCAATTAAGGAATTACACACAAAATAATTTGACTTGCACGACTGAATATTGTCATTAGCATATAAAATGTACTACAAAGCAAAGATGTAAAATCATACAATAACAAAACAATTACATACAGTAGATGGATCATTACACAGCAACATACCGTAATTATAAAGTCCACTTCCACGTGCAAGATTTATACATTTATTAGATGTTATGGACTTTAGAATAAATGAGCATTGAAGTTTGTGGCATCTGAAGTCCCTCTTGGCGACGGGCGATGGTAAGGAGTAGCAAATGTGAGCTGTCACCAATGATGTTGTGTGCTAATCTCAGCACCATCTGATGCTACTTCTTCTGGAATATCTGTGCTTTCAAACACACACACATTCTGATATACACTTTTTCACACAAACACCAACAAAAACACTGTTTGAATTTGGAGTTTGCTGGAATTTGTTGGGACACCGAAGTGAAACCATGAACTCTGACAGAAACTCTATTTGCATCCCATAACTGTCGACAACGAGTGTGTTCCTTCAGAGCATACGACACCACTGTTGGGTGTCTGAGTAGATAAAGGGACTGTCACATGACCAATACGGGCCAATACAAAGGTGAGGAAGACTTGCCATGTTTGGTCCCTCAGTGGAGCAGAGATGAGGGTCGGTGTGAAGTGCTCAGTCTCGCTGATGGACAGCAGCAGATCCAGTTGCACTTGTGACTGGCTGTCAAGTGCCTGTCCATCCGATAGACGAGAGTGGACAACAGGCGGAGGAGCAGGACATTGATGGGGATGTCGGGGCGATGGGGGGGGGGTGTATAGAGGAGTCCTGTCAGCAGCAGCTGAGTAGGAGAACATGTGTGACTGGATGTTACAGCATAAAGTCAGAATTGCGTGATATAAAATCAGAATTGCGAGATATTAAGTTTCAATTGTGTGTTATAATGTCAGAATTGCGTGATATAGTCAGAATTGTCTGATATAAAGTCGCAATTTTGTTTAAAGTCAGAATTGTGTGATATAAAATCAGAATGGTCTGATATAAAGCCGCAATTGTGTTATAATGTCAGAATTGCGTGATATAGTCAGAATTGCGAGATATAATGTCAGAATTGCGTGATATAGTCAGAATTGCGAGATATAAAGTTGCAATTGCGAGATATAAAGTCAGAATTGTCTGATATAAAGTCAGAATTGTCTGATATAAAGTCACAATTTTGTTTAAAGTCAGAATTGTGTGATAAAATAAGAATTGCGAGATATAAAGTCAGAATTGCGAGATATAAAGTCAGAATTGCGTGATATAAAGTTGCAATTGTGTTATAATGTTAGAATTGCATGATATAGTCAGAATTGCTTAAAGTTGCAATTGTGTTTAAAGTCAGAATTGCGAGATATAAAGTTGCAATTGCGAGATATAAAGTCAGAATTGCGAGATATAAAATCGCAGTTGTGTTGAAAGTCAGAATTGCATGACAAAGTCAGAATTGCGTGATATAAAGTTGCAATTGCGTGATATAAAGTTGCAATTGTGTTTAAAGTCAGAATTGCGAGATATAAAATCACAATTGTGTTATAATGTTAGAATTGAGTGATTTAGTCAGAATTGCGTGATATAAAGTTGCAATTGCTTGATATAAAGTTAGAATTGCGCGATATAAAGTCAGAATTGCGAGATATAAAGTCAGAATTGCGTGATAAAAAGTTGCAATTGTGTTTAAAGTCTGAATTGCATGATTTAAAGTTGCAATTGCGTGTTATTAAGTCAGAATTGTGACTTGTGAATGTCTCGCAATTCTGACTATATATCTCGCAATTCTGACTTTATATCTCGTAATTCTGACTTTATATCTCGTAATTCTGACTTTATATCTCGTAATTCTGACTTTATATCTCGCAATTCTGACTTTATATCACACAATTCTGACTTTATATCTCACAATTCTGACTTTATATCTCGCAATTCTGACTTTATATCTCACAATTCTGACTTTATATCTCGCAATTCTGACTTTATATCTCGCAATTCTGACTTTATATCTCGCAATTCTGACTTTATATCACGCAATTCTGACTTTATATCTCGCAATTCTGACTTTATATCTCACAATTCTGACTTTATATCTCACAATTCTGACTTTATATCTCGCAATTCTGACTTTATATCTCGCAATTCTGACTTTATATCTCGCAATTCTGACTTTATATCTCGCAATTCTGACTTTATATCTCACAATTCTGACTTTATATCTCACAATTCTGACTTTATATCTCGCAATTCTGACTTTATATCTCGTAATTCTGACTTTATATCTCACAATTCTGACTTTATATCTCGCACTTCTGACTTTATATCTCACAATTCTGACTTTATATCTCGCAATTCTGACTTTATATCTCACAATTCTGACTTTATATCTCACAATTCTGACTTTATATCTCGCAATTCTGACTTTATATCTCACAATTCTGACTTTATATCTCGCAATTCTGACTTTATATCTCGCAATTCTGACTTTATATCTCACAATTCTGACTTTATATCTCACAATTCTGACTTTATATCTCACAATTCTGACTTTATATCTCGCAATTCTGACGTTATATCACAATTGCGACTTATCATGCACGGATGGGGATGTCAGGGTTTGTGTTATAGAGGAACCCGTCAACAGCAGCTGAGTTGGAGAACAGGTGTGACTGGATGTTTTCAACAGCGGTGACATTTACCCTCAGCCTCGCTCTGCCAAAGCCACACTTTATCTCCATCAGCGGAGACTGGACAGATTTACTGCTATGAAATATTATAAGTCACTAGAGTCTGAAAACAGAATGCCACACGCATGATGATCCAGCACCGTGAACAAGACACAACATATGTGTCAAACATGATACAGTTTGAACAAGTGCCATGTAGCGTTTATGTTGTGTCCAGATGCTTAGCAGAGACATCATTTACACACAATAAACCAGCACAGAGATATGGGTTTTTCACAATTACATGATATAAAGTTATACAGTCAGAATTGCGTTATATAAACTCACGATTGGGAGAAATAAACTTGCAATTCTTACTTTTTTTCTCAGAATTGCATGTTTATATCTTGCAATTCTGACTTTATAACACACAATTGCGATTTTATATCATGTAATTCTTACTTTATAAAACAATTACGACTTTATTTCTCGCAATTCTGACTTTAAATCACGCAGTTCTTACTTTATAACACAATTGCGACCATATATCACGCAATTCCGAGAAATAACGAATTGCAACAAAATGTAAACTCGCAATTGTGAGATAAAAAGTCGCAATTGTCTTTTAAAATGTTTCGTTCTGTCGCGGAAACGACATTCTCACTATAAAATAAAAGTGTTTTGTGTGATTTGTAGGTAGCACCAGACAGAAGGCTGGAACGATGCCAGATTCACCTGCTGATGTCAAAACCCAGCCCAGGTCGACTCCGCCCACAATGCCTCCGCCACCCCCCGCTGTCAGCCAGGCAGCCAATCGCAGTGCATCGTTCACACCCACAACAAGTAAGTGACCCTGTGACAAATATACGTAGGTTTGTCTTGTGAACTTGATGCTTTCATCACACCCTAGAAAACCAGGTGTAGGTCGGCAGGGTTTGAAGTGAACTTTTCCACAGACTTTTATTTTGCATTCAGCTAATCACGATTAATTGTTGCCCAGCACTAGTTATTAGAGCAATGCCCGAACACAGAATAATTGAAACAAGTCGCACAGAATGCCCTAAAAATCAACATACAAAAATAAGAAAAAAAAACTTAAATTAAGAAAAAATAATAATAATAACAAGCAAAATTATCTGCCAATGGGGTGAGAACATTTTACTTGATAAGACTTTTTGAAACAAGACAAATAAACTTTAAAAAAATAAAAAAAAAGTTCTTAATCTTAAAACAAGAAAAAAATGAAGTAAATTTAGATATTTTAACTTGATTCAAGCAGTACAAATATCTTGAAACCAATGCAAAAATTGTAAAATCTAGTATTTTTTTCTTGTTTTATTTGTGGTTAGTTTTAAATACTCTTGGTAAAAATATCTTAATATAAGTATATACACATTTTAAGGGATTCAGGCTTATTTTGAGAGAATAGTTTGGTTTAAAATATCTTTATATAAGAATATATATACACATTTGATCTTTTTCTGGCTTATTTTAAGAGAAAAGTTTGGTTTAAATGATCTTGATATAAGAATATATATATATATATATATATATATATATATATATATATATATATATATATATATATTAGGGCTGTGCAAAAATTAATTGCAATTAATCGCATCCAAAATAAAAGTCTGTGTTTACATAATATATTTGTGTGTGCTGTATATAATTATTTTGTATATATAAATACCTATGCATGCATGTATATATTTACAAATTATTTGCGCTTAAATTCTGTATATATATATATATATAAATACATAATCTGTATTATATAAATATAAATATTTTATATATGAATAACACATTTTCTTAAATAAATACATGCATGTGTTTTATATTTATATATACAAAATAATTTAATATCAAACACACACAAATATATTATGTAAACTCAGACTTTTACTTTGGATTAATTTTTTAGCACAGCCCTAATATAAATATATATATATATATATATATATATATATATATATATATATATGCATTTTAAGGGTTTCGGGCTTATTTTTAGGGAAAGGTTTGGTTTAAAGGTCGGCAAGTGAACTTTTTCACACACTTTTATTTTGCATTCAGCTAATCACGATTAATGGTTGCCCAGCACTAGTTATTAGAGCAATGCCCTTGTAACATGAGTAAGTGTGTTTGTGAGTGTTTGTGTATGGTAGGTTGAGCTATTGTCTGGGAGTGTGAGTGCTTAGGATAGACAGCTAGAGATTTGTTTACTGCATAGGGGGGATTCATATTCGCGGGCAGCATCAGATCCCGCTACCCTATATAGCAATGACGGGCCTTGTTGTTTCACCTGTTGCGTGGGTCGTAGCGTAGCCCGCTCGCCGCTCTAAAACCAGAACACAAGTGTGGGAGTCACATGGTAAACCATGAGATAAAAAAAGGGGCACAAGTGAAATGAAAGACCCTGTGTTGTGCACACACACTCATAGACCCAGCAGTGTGAACATGCCTCCCAAGCTCCCCGGGGATTATGGCCTAAGCCCTCGCGCCGTGTCCACGTCTCCAGTAATGTTTGTTTATCTGTGGCTTCAACAAAATACACAGCCTACTATTAGGGAGAAGGCATAATCGGGAGAAAGAGGGAAGAGATGCAAACGTGTGGACCTGGACTCTGAAAGCTGCAAATCTGCTCTCAGCTGGTAGACATGTGCGCTAGCCGGATTTAGCTGCACACCTGCTGTCGGAATAAAAGTAACCCAGTCCAGGGGGCTATTTTTGGGACCTCTTTAACACGTTCCTCTTATAGTTGAGTCTTAGTGAGTGGCTGAGCAGTGGGCATGTGTGTATGTTGTGGAGAGAGATGATGATGATGATGGCAGAATGAAACGAAGCGTGTTTAGCTACTGTCGAAGCGTATCTGTAGTTTCAGTTTGCTCTTTGGCTGTTCTCGGGATGCACGTGCCGTCTTCGTGTTTCGTGGGAGATTCCCGGAGAGGGGTCCCCGGGACTGAGATGGATAAACGAGGAGCCTGGCGTGACTTAAACAATGCTAATGCAAACAGTGGATCTCTCTCCGCAGTGCTGAACGGGAGCAGTCACTCGCCGACTACGCTAAACGGAGCTCCTTCGACTCCCAATGGCTTCAGCAACGGACCGGCCACCTCTTCTACCGCTTCCCTCCCAACCCAGCAACTCCCTCCGGCGTGTGGAGCCCGGCAGCTCTGCAAGCTTAAGCGCTTTCTCACCACACTACAGCAGTTCGGCAACGACATCTCGCCTGAGATTGGAGAACGCGTACGCAGCCTTGTGCTTGGGCTAGTGGTGAGTGTCTGCTGGTTTTCTTTATCCCCGAGCAAAATGATCCGAAGCACCAAAATTATACCTAATTTGTGTGTATAGAAAGCTTATATTTTTTTTGTTTACCTTTTAAATGACTAGATGTGATCAATAAATAGTAATTTAAAGGATTAGTTCACTTTTCAAAAAACTTTTGCTGATAATTTATTTACTCACGCCCATGATGTCATCCAAGATGTCCACGTCTTCCTTTCTTCAGTCGAAAAGAAATTAAGGTTTTTGATGAAAACATGCCAGGATTTTCTCCATATAATGGACTTCATTGGGGACCAAACGCTTCAAGGTCCAATGCAAACTGTTCAAAGGGCTTTAAACGACTCCAGACGATGAATAAGGGTCTTATCAAGCGAAACGATCGCTCATTTAATAAATAAAAGTTTTATAAGCTCAAATGCTCGCCTTGCTCTGTTCTGATGCGCGTTCGTGACTCTCCTGTTCATCAAAATGAACAAATCTTTTTCCGAATCAATTCGTTCGTTTCTTTCGCCGAATGACTCGGAAAAAGATTTGTTCATTTTGATGAACGAGTTCGAACAGGAGTGCGTTACAGAACAGAGCAAGGCGAGCGTTTGAGCTTATAAAACTTAAACTTTGTTATTTATTTATAAAACGAGCGATCGTTTCGCTTGATAAGACCCAGGAGTCGTTTAAAGCCCTTTGAAGCTCAACTGAAAATCTCATTCGGACCTTGAACCGTTTGGACCCCATTGAAGTCCATTATACGGAGAAAATCCTGGAATGTTTTCATCAAAAACCTTAATTTCTTTTCGACTGAAGAAAGAAAGACATGGACATCTTGGATGACATGGGGGTGAGTAAATTATCAGCAAGAGTTTTTTTTAAAGTGAACGACTCCTTTAACTGTGAGCGCTGTCTCCGGTTGTTTTCTAAGTGTTGAACGGATCGCCCTTTCTGTCTTATCAGAACTCAACTCTAACCATTGAAGAGTTCCACTCCAAACTTCAGGAAGCCACAAACTTTCCCCTGCGTCCCTTTGTCATTCCATTTCTCAAGGTAAGAACAGGCACAGAAACATTCACCTCACACACACACACACACACTCCCTCACTTCCAGCAATCTTGAATAGCCTGAATTTGGACTATTGATGAAGTTCCACATTGAGTTGATTGAGTTCTTGCCTTGCGTAGTTAGACTTACTAAAGCGACAGGATAAACCATATATAACTGAAGGAGTGTGCTCAAGGATATCTTGTTCTAGCTTGGAGGTGTTCATTGTTGCATGCAGGGAACGTTGTTTAAAAATGTTCAAATAAAAACTTAGAAAGACTCATGTAAAGTGCATACAACCAGCCAATCATGTTCCATTTTGAGAGCTTTTTAAAAATAAATTGTGCAATATGAATCAGACGATGTGTGTGCCGACTATTCCTCTGTATGAGGAGCCCTTCCTCATGGTGACTATATTAAATATTTTAACTAGGGCTGTCAAATGATTAATCGCGATTAATCGCATCCAAAATGACCGTTTGGGTCCCACTTTATATTAAGTGGCTTTAAGTACTATGTACTTACATTTAAAAATAAGTACAAGTAATTACAGATGTAATTACATAAATTAATTACGGCTGTAATTACATGCTGGTATTTTTTAAATATAAGTACAATGTAAAAGCATATGTGTACACAATAATTCCTTTGTATCAAATTATTAATTTCAATGTAAGTACATAGTACTTAAAGCCACTTAATATAAAGTGGGACCAAGTTTGTGTTTACAGAATATATGCGGGTGTACTGTGTGTTATTCTGTATATATATAAATATAAATACAAACACATGCATGTATATTTAAGGAAAAAAAATATTATTTATATATAAAATATTTATGTAAATTATATATCAATCTATATACATGCAAATATTTCTTAAATATACAAGCATGTGTGTGTATTTATATATAAATAACATAATTGTACACAGTGCACCCACATATATTATGTAAACACAAACTTTTATTTTGGATGCGACTAATCGCGATTAATCGTTGGACAGCCCTAATGCTAACATGTTAAACTGGCCAAAAATTAACGTGTTAAAGGACAACTCCAGTGCAAAATGAACCTATGGATGGTGTATTAACACATTTGTTCCGAATCTTGATGATTGAATCTAAAGAGTTTTATCTCTTAAAACCATTTAGCGTATAACGCTAGCCCCAACAGTAACACGTTAGCATAATGAGGGTCCCTACATGCAAACCTTGAGACAGTTTAATAAGAAGATACTTTATAAAGACAGTCCACGAACTCAATGGTCGAACCACGAACGCAATGGTCGATCGGGAAAACGTTTGTGAAACCCAATTACATGAAAATGCATGAGTCTCTTTATAGAGAGCCTAAGTCCCTCCCCTTCCGGTCGACCACCATGGGACCTTATTTCGGAAAAATATTGAATGGTAGTCAATGGTGAGAGACAACAAATTTTTTGATCTGGTTTGAATTCTGCCCTGAATTACACATATGATGTTTGTCAATTTAAAAGATACATTTTAAAGTAAAGAAAGTCGCAGTTTGATGTAAAACCGTTGAGGTATAAGACTGTGAAAATACGTCATTACAAAGACTACAAACCCCAAAGGCGCGCATTTTCTCTCAATGAATAAAGCTAACTTTACCGAGGCTATTGTCTGTCATTGTTTCTACAGTCTTACGTTATAATCGTAACGTTACGCCGTCATACCTGAGTGTGTTGTACCAGACTGCACACACACGAGCAGCGGATCTCGTTTCGCTTCTGGGAGATGTAGTTCATAGAGCGATTTTCACATAAAACTAAATGTTACTCTTCTGTTTTATGACAAACTGCGACGTTTTTGACTTTCAGAATTATCTTTTAAATTGACAAACATCATATGTGTAATTGAGGGCACAGTTCAGACGGAATAAAAAGATAAGTTGTCTCTCGCCATTGACTACCATTCATATTTTTTCCGAAATAAGGTCCCATGAGCCGGAAGCGGAGGGGCGGGACTTAGGCTCTCTATTAAAATATATGGGTGACTAACTACAAGGGAAAAGGATGAGATGAGCACCTTTAACAATGACAAAATGCTGGGTTGTTTTAACCCAACTTTGGGTCAAATATGGACAAGCCCAGCCATTGGTTACATTTTTAAATTAAATTTTTAACCCGATGTTTGAGTTTGTCCATATCTGACCTAAAATTGGGTTTAAACAACCCAGTATTTTTTAGTATTATTTAAGTATATTTAAGACCTGCCAATCAAGACAGCTTTTTCAATTTGTGCGATATGAATCAGACGGTGTGTGTGTGTGTGTGTGTGTGAGACTTTTCCTCCAGAGTTCTTGAAGTCTTTCTGTATCTGTACGAGGAGCTCTTCCTTATGGTGCACCATATGGGACGGTGTGTGTGTGTGTGTGTGTGTGTGTGAGGGGATTTTGAGACAGACAGGCAAAGTGACAAACAAATGGATGGCGGCCAGCATCCACACACACACATGCACAGACTCAGTGTTTCCCGGTTATATGGTTTTCAGTGTGTGTAGATGAGTGAAGTTCATCTGATAAAGCATCCGAAACCCCTTCCAAATCTAAATCCCCCTCGCTGGTCTGTGCTGATCTAGTGCTCCATATGGCCATCATTTGTGATTCATTAAAATTGGCACACTTGTGTTTACCCGGAGTGGCGCGGGCCAAAGAAGATTTTCTGGCAGATGTTGCGTCGGGTTGCAGCTTTTCCGTTGCTCTGCCGCTGTTGTCTTTACGCTGATCCCTTTCTGTCCTCAGACATCACACTCACACACACATTCACTCAAACGACCTTGCATTGATTCACAAAAGTGCATAAATTAAATTTCTAGTTGTGGAAATGCTATCTCTGAGTCTGACAAACACACAACCCGTTCAAGTCAAGTCATTTATTATTGTCATGTGTACAAGTTACCATTTACTGTCCAATGAAAAAACGTGAATGCGCTCCACAGACCAAATACTAAACCTCACTTCTATATAAACAAAACAAATATACATATATATTACTAGAGCCCGATTGATAAAGGATTTTGAAGGCCGATACCGATACAAATATTTTGGGGTTTTAAAATCCGATATTCCGATTTTTTTTAATTAAATATTGTTGGATTTCACACACAGACTAACTTTTCTGCACAAGATAAATGTCTAAATGTTCACTCCTCGCAAGTGTAACTTACATTTTACAATGCAGGGACTGTAACTAGAGATATGCTAGTTATAAATACAGTAATAATTACTTTATTTAGGCAGAAAAAGTTCATTGTGGTTTCCAAGCTCATTAATGTTAACGTTAGCGGTCTTCCACTGATGATAGTGGCATTAGCTAGCTTTGTGGTTAGCTAGTCTATGATGAGCCATAATTTAGCAATAGATAACATCATAGTGCAAATTGTAAAACATACATTTTCAATATAACAGGCCAAGGAGAGATGATTGAAGTGTGTTTCGTCTGTTTTTATTTTATTTTTTAAATATTCATTTATCGCCATTATAACTGCCGATACCGATATTATGGAAAATGCCGAATATCGGCCGATAATATCGGTCTGGCTCTATATATTACCAAATGATTGCTAAACCACATTCCCACAATGCATTAGCACAATGAAATAATGTAATGAGACACCTTCACCATTTCTCACCTTATCAGTTTATTCGCTATAGTTTAGAAAATGGTTGTAAAATATGAGCAGAGACTGGTTTTGTGGTTGTGTCCGTCCTTCTGTTGGACTCTCACACATGAATTATGTTGAATATCTGTTAATGCACAATTAGATAATACCAGTTTAGCTCAACCAGTGACCAATGCTTCATGTTGTTCAGTGTGTGTGTAAAAAGAGCATTAGCAATTACAGAAAACACACGTGAAAACAAAACAAAGTGTCCGAGTAATATTGATCCCAAATCTTACTGTATGAAGATTATTTGGGTGTAATATGTCACAGTTTACTTTATTTTGCTCTCCTCAATTAAATAAATGAACTGCATGCACTAGTAAAAAAAAATATCCAAAATGATATCTGGCGTCTGAATAATGTTTGGTTTGACTGTACATTCAGTGATGACACTGTTGGCAACACTTTACTTAAAGCCCTTATGTATAATGCATTATAAAAGTATCGTTATAATGCACCTTATTATGCATTGTATGTTCTCATGAATAATTGCAACCACAGTTATAATACACTAAACTTCATTGAACACACGTTTAGAAAGTATAATGCATTAAAACACATGACAAACAACCAATTTCAGAATCTGCAAATATTATAATGCATTTTAACGCCAAACTCACATGCAAAAAATAACTATTCCAAAATGCATCACAGGTGAAACTGGAAAAATTAAAATATGGTGAAAAAGTCACTAATTCAACTTAAAATGTGAAACTAATAGACTCATAACATGCAAAGTGAGATATTTAAAGCATTTATTTGTTATAATTTTGATGATTATGGCTTACAGCTTATGAAAACCCAATATTAAAAATTACAATATTACATGAAATCAATTAAAAAAAAGGATTTTAAATATAAAAATGTCATGCATATGTACTCAGGACTTGCTTTGGGCTGCTTTTGCATGACTTTCTGCCATGTATGCTATTCAAATTTTTCCAGTTTCTATATATTAATATATCCATTGAAGAAAATGTTTGGTCTGGAAAGTTGCCCCCCCAGTCTTCCACTATGTTACTAAGATTCAGACTACACAAGACATATCTCATAGTGTGAGTGTTTCATTCAAAGCAGAGCCCTGTGTACATGGCACCCGGCACATTGCTCACACACTGCTGTCAGGGTGTTGATGTTACACATCTGTATCATCAGCCAGCTGTGTAGTGTTAAACTGACAGCCGAAGAGAAGAAGAGTTCTCCTACTGCACACACACACACACACACACACACATGGTGGGCCACAGAAAGTGTGTTTTATCTCATACTCTCTCACCGCTCACTGTGATTTTGCCAAGTAAGACATGTTCCTGGATCAGCATTACCATCCCACAATGTAGTCGTGACCTGCTTCTAAGCCTAAACTTGACATAAACTGTAAACTTGTCCCTCAAATCTGATTGGTTGATAGGAAAGTTGTTCCAGGATCAACAAGATGTGGTCCTTTCACCACAAACCATGTTTATAGACGTCCCCATCTTCTAATTCAAAGAAATATATTACATTGTATATTCACTCTAAAAAATGCTGGGTTGTTTAACCCAATTTTTGGTCAAATATGGACAAACCCAGCCATTGGGTTAAAAATGTAACCCGATTGCTGGGTTTGTCCATATTTTATCCAAAATTGGGTTAAAACAACCCGGCATTTTTTTATAGTGTGTGACAAAATAAACAAGATATGTGCATTTAAAACATGTAAAAACAAACAATGCTGTGTTATTTTAACCCAATTTTGGGTAAAATATAGACAAACCCAGCCATTGGGTTACATTTTTAAATTACATTTTTAACCCAATGGCTGGGGTTGTCCAAATATGGACAAACCCAAATGTTGGGTTAAAAATGTACAGTTGAAAGTGAAAGTTGAAGTTGGGTTCAAATTTGAAATTATATTTTTAACCCAACATTTGGGTTTGTCCACACTCTCTAAAAAATGCTGGGTTGTTTTAACCCAATCTTGGGTCAAATATGGACATTGGGTTAAAAATGTCATTTAAAAATGTAACCCAACGGCTGGGTTCGTCCATATTTGACCCAAAATTGGGTTAAACAACCCAGCATTTTTTAGAGTGTTTCTTTGTGTGTTTATGTGTATATCTGAAATATATTACACATGCAGTACCATATCTATATACAGTATTATGTGTTACTGAGTAAAAAAATTACATACATTATGATATATTAGTATCACATATTTATATTAAAAGCGGCAATTCCTTATGTATTATTTAATATTGTAATATATTAACATGTAGTGGATGAATAAATGTAGTTAATGAATCTGTTTGAGATGGAATTAATGCTGTAAATTACAGACATGCATCTGAGGAATATTTCTCATTTTTATCAGTTATTTTGCTTTATTTCCGGCTCGTTCTCACGTAGAGCTCGTTCACGTCTCTCGACAAACTAAAAGACGTAAATGACATTTGTCTGTATCCTAAATAAAAGGTACAGATTGTACTGAATGTCAGCTTTTTTAAAGGATGTATTGAGTCCACATGTCATGCGAACATGAAACTCTGCTTCTAACCGCAGGTCGAGAGTGTCGCTCACACACACAACTCGGCGAATGTTCACTGGAACGATGGTTTCGGGAAACACAGACTCGTTGAACCGCTGATAACGATGAACTTGCTTTCGGGAAACACAGTCCTGGTTTTGCGAGTCTCCACTGGCGATTCAGTCTGGAAATGTGGATTTGTGTTGGTGCGTACTAGAAAATGCTTTCCGTTTTCTCAGCACATGTGTGTTCTCGCTGTGTCCTGCAGGCGAACCTGCCGCTCCTGCAGAGAGAGCTTCTCCACTGCGCTCGCATGGCGAAGCAAACCCCGGCTCAGTATCTGGCCCAACATGAACAACTCCTGCTGGACGCCAACGCCAGCTCTCCCCTCGACTCCTCCGAGATCATGATGGAGCTCAACGAACACGGCAAGAGACGGACCCCGGACAGGTACACACACACACACGCTTGTCTTTCTGTGTACCATTTTCATAAAAAATACCTCCAGTCATAAATACCGGCAAAGTCAAGCAAAAGGCAAAGAAATGTAGACAGCTACGGTGAATGTCAACACAACTTTGCCCTGGGTATCCTTCTTCACGTCTGGGATTGAAATGCACACGCACTCGGTGTAATGAGCGGAGGGTGTGTGTAAAGGTTAAGCCACACAGAACGAGACCGTGAGGAGGAGGAGAGAGAGAGAAGTGTGTGTGGTGTGTCTGCAGTGATGCCAGATTCGAAATGTCCAAGTATCCTAACAGAAGCTCAAAATGATCATATTTAGGTGTGTATCGATGCCCTCACGATTCGATGCATATCTCGATACCAAACTCGCAATACGATACATATCTCGATACCGAACTCGCGGTACGATACGTATCTCGTTACCGAACTCACGATACGATACATATCTCGATACCGAACTCACGGTACGATACGTATCTCGTTACCAAACTCACGATACGATACATATCTCGATACCGAACTCACGGTACGATACGTATCTCGTTACCGAACTCACGATACGATACATATCTCGATACCGAACTCACGGTACGATACGTATCTCGTTACTGAACTCACGATACGATACATATCTCGATACCAACTCACGGTACGATACGTATCTCGTTACCGAACTCACGATACGATACATATCTCGATACCGAACTCACGGTACGATACGTATCTCGTTACCGAACTCACGATACGATACATATCTCGATACCGAACTCACGGTACGATACATATCATGATACTAAACTCACGATACGATAGTATCACGATACCGAAATCCCGATACGTATCTCGATCCCGAACTCATGATACGATACGTATCTCGATACCGAACTCCCGATACGATACGTATCTCGATACCGAACTCACGGTACGATACATATCTTGATACCGAACTCACTATACGATACGTATCTCGATACCGAATTCACGATACGATACATAACTCGATCCTGAACTCACGATACCAAACTCGCGATACGATACGTATCTCGATACCGAACTCAAGATACAATACGTATCTCGATACCGAACTCACGATACGATACGTATCTCAATACCGAACTCACGATACGATACATATCTTGATACCGAACTCACGATACGATACATATCTTGATACTAAACTCAGTATACGATAATATCTCGATACCAAACTCACAATACGATACATATCTCGATACCGAACTCACGATTCGATACATATCTCAATACCGAACTCACGATACGATATTATTGTGATACTCCAAGACAAGTTAGCAAAAAATGAACTGTTGATTAAAATGCTAAATTTGAAATTGCAGTGTGTGTGTGTGTAAATGAATAGGCTTGGTCTTGGTGTTGGATAATACATATGCAAATTGCCTGATAAACCTCATGCAAGCGTAAAAACTTTTTTTGAGAGTTTTTTGAGAAATTGACATGTTTCCATTGGGCGTATTTTCAATTTCAATTTGTGCAATTTGAAGAGTAATGGAAACACGGCTAGTGATCGTTCTCTCCACCAGGGTGACTTGATGAAAAGTGCTTGAATTATTGAAAAAGGCAATAGTTTTTGTTTTATTGATAAAACAATCTTTTCACACACCGCATTTCGAGTCATTTCGCATGGCTATGAGTGTGATATTGCTCATAAATATCCAAGTATAGATACAGCTTTTATTATTCAACTCAATCATATATTCATAAGAGGAAACGTCAGTTTGAATTATGAAAGCGATATCTTTGTCATCGTATCCTTTCACTGGTTAAAGTTACCAGTCATTGCATCTGCCGCACTTCATTTGTAGCATTTTGTTTTATTAGTTAATTTGTATTACTCCATTTACCTTTTAAAAGATAATAAAGAAAGATATTGTTTGATTAAATGAGTGTAGTCATTTTACAGTATCTGTTACAGTACTGATAGATGTGTTGCTGTGGACCGAGGGACCGCCGATATTCCCGTTCGTCTGTTTTTGTTTTTCTTCGACTCTCTCATCCGCACCGTCTCCTGTTAGTTCCCTGGTATCTGCCCATATGCCAGCGTTGTGTCCAGATGGTGATCTTGCTGAACCCCTGCTCGAACTGATCTGGGGGAGGGAGGGATGAATAAAGAGAGAGAGGCAATCCCCTACTGTAATCCATACACCTCCATCTCAGAAAACCCTAAGCTCACCACATCACGGCGGCAGCCGCTTTCATTTGTGGGATATTTGGCCGCAACTGCAGAAATGCTGACGATTTTGGGTTGGTTGCCATGATGGGGTGTCGGATGTCCGAGCCACACTGCAAAAAATGCTTTTCTTACTCAGGATTTTTATCTTGTTTACAGCCCAAATACCAAAAAGTGCTCAAATCATGATGGATTTACTAAAGTAGTAAAATGCCTTGAGATATTATAAAAAATACGAATAAAAAATTAAGTGAGTTTTTGCTTAAAACAAGCAAAGTGATCTAGCACTCAAACGGAAATTCGATTTTTTTTTTCGTACCGCATTGCCAGATCATTTCGCTTGTTTAAGGCTTCGTCTGGATTTTTTCCCCCTGAAAACAAGATGTAATATCTCATCTAGAAAATGCTTCTTGATTTAAGAATCTTTAGATATGTGGACACAAAAATACTGGACTCTACTCTCAAGTACAAGAAGGAAACAAGCTCCTCACACACACACACACACACACACGTGTGTTTCATGCACTCAACTAAACAGATTATTATCAACACTACAGCACAGGCCAGATGGATCCAAAACGCCAGTGTCACTGAACATCTGCCAAAGGGAGCAGCTCTCACCGTTCAGGAGAGAGAGAGACGGGTGAGAACGGGAGAGATTAAGAGGTTGGGATTTAACTCCGCTTCTCTGTATCTGAAGGCTTGAGTCCACATATGGCTCACAGCTGGCCTCAGCGCTGGACACGAGAGGAAAGACGAGGTCCGACCGCAAGAATGTAAAACTATCAGTGGCTTTTTGAGACACCACCGGTCAAACGTTTGGGATCGGTGCGATTTTTAATGTTTTTAAAAAAGAAGTCATTTCTGCATAAAAAAAATCTGTAATATTGTGAAATATTATGACAATTTCAATATATTTTAAGATGTAATTTATTCAGTCTTCAGTGTCACATGATCCTTCAGAAATCACTCTAATATGAGGATCTGATGCTCAACAAACATTTATGATTATTATCAATGTTGAAAAAAGTCGTGTACATATTTTTTCAGGATTCTTTGATGAATAGAAAGTTTAAAATAACAGCATTTATTTGAGATATTACATGATATACTACATTTTTGATAGACCCCCCCCCCCCCACTGACCCCAAACGGTAGTGTTTAATGTTATGAAAGCTTTCTATTTCAGATAAATCTGTTCTTTTGAACTTTAAATTCATCAAAGAATCCTGAAATAAAATTGTAAACAATATTGATAATGTTTCTTGAGCATCAGATCCTCATATTAGAGTGATTTATGAAGGATCATGTGACACTGAAGACTGGGGTAATGATGCTAATGATCACAGGAATAAATTACACTTTATTATATATTCACATGTTTTAAATTGCAAAAATGTTGGTATTTTTAATCAGATAAATGCAGCCTGGGTGAGCAGAAGAGACATTAAAAATCTTGGTAGTGTATGTCCTAAAGCGTTTCTATAACAGGACCAAAGAGAGCGGCTCTACATATCAATGAACTAAATTAATAACTTTTTTACAACACAAATGAAGCTGGACTGTGACGCTATTCTCTTCTACACAAACTTTGTTGCATTATTTTGCTTTAAAGCTGACTTGACTCTTGGATATGTCCTAAAAGCGTTTCAACATTCCTTCCAACAGGACCAAAGAGAGCGCAGGGGACCGGGACGGTTTGCACCCTGAACACCTGGCCAAGCGTCCATGTACAGTGAGTCCCAGTCAGCGCTTCAGTCCCAGCAGTGGCTTACCGGCCCATCCGCCCCCAAACGGGCTCCCGACACACCCGCCCAACGGCCTGCCCCACCCCACGCCTCCGGCCCCGCAACATTACCGGCTGGAGGACATGGCTCTCGCACACCACTACAGAGACGCGTACCGACACGCGGAGCACAGGGACGTGCGGGACCGGCACCGGCAAACAGGTCAGACCGCTGAATAAACCACTTTATTTAGTCGATCATTCTGTCCCTTAAAACTCACCAAAAAAGTTTTTGTTTTTGCTAAAAATATCTTTATATTTAGCCGTTAAATATCTTGAATGTAACTCGACACCCGCGCCTCATTTAGTATTCAGGGTTCTATGAATATTCGAATGAGCCCCGCCTTCACTCCGTCACTCAACGGCGATCACACGTTGATCTGATTGGTTACCAGCGATTTCAAAGCGTGTTTTTGAGACTGTCTTTGACTCAGCAATGCTGTCGACTTATGAACTTACACACGGTGTGTCTTAAAGCGTATTACTGAAGTTACGACGGCCGACAGGAAGTGATGTCGTCGTCTGAGACAGCAGAGAGTAGCCTGTTAAACACTGAGGTTTCTTTACAAGGATAAATTAAGAACTGATGTTTACTTTATTATTGTGAATATTATTGTGACGTATTCATCCATTTATCCGCTAGATCTTTACACGAAGAACAACATAGTGACGAAACGTGTTTGTCCGCTCAGGGCCACCGTAGAAACATGTGGATGTGTGTGTGTAGAGCTAATAAACACATAACGCTTCATTAGTACACCACTGAAAACATAGTTATGGATATGATATTGCTTTTCTGTCAACAGATCCTCCTGAATATTACACACTGCACCTTTAAAGCATATTACAACATTAAACAACATTAAAAACTGGATTTTTGGGGGGTGTTTGCTTTGTATATATCTGCTATTTTACAGCATGATTTCACCTGGTTAATAATTGGAGTAATTTTTCCAGCATTGGACATGGACAGTGTTTGTGTGTATGCTAATGCGTGTTGTGTTTCTGTTATAGCCGTGCATGGAGCGCGTCAAGAAGAAGTGATTGATCACCGGCTGACAGACCGCGAGTGGGCTGAGGAATGGAAACACCTTGATAACGTATGTGTGGCCAGATGCTTTCTTCCTCATCAGCTTTCATACATGCGAGCTCGAGCGACTCTGCTAGGGGGAAAACTAGTTATATCTTATTAATGTGGTCAAGATGGCTGCTGATCCAACTCTGCTGGAGTCAAAACCAGACTTGGTAGTCCAGATGATACTCGAAAGTTGTATGGGAGGTAGGGTGGCCTGGGGTCCTGTTTTAACGATCTAAAACGCAAGTGTACACTCAAAAAAATGAACTAGGGAGGTTGTGCACTTTACATAATATATTTATATATAGTTTACTTATAATAATTGTGTTTTTTGACTATTAACGTCTATGTAATTGTGTCTCAACTTGACAAAATCCTAATGTGTTGTCTAAACACAAACCGTTTATGTTAAGTAAAAAAAATGTACATCCAGATGTGTACATGCCATTTTGCCCGAACTTAATTTTATTGTGTTCAATCTGCTTAAATCTACGAACAACTTAAGTTTACTTAATCCGTTTGTGTTGGATTACATGATTGATTTGTGTTGCCTTAACTCAAACTGGGCAGTGCTTTTAGTTCCCAGCATGCTTTGCATATGGTTGAATTAAAAAAGAATAAATGTTAAAATTAAGTGTTATTTTATGTATTTTTGATAAATTTAGAAAAGGGGAAGACTTGATAGTGTGTAATAGTGTTTAATGTTAAATTACATTGGAATTATTAAACCATTTAAGTTACCATTGTGGAGACGAGTGGAGCATTTTGTTTGGCTGTCGACTGATTTCATTATTTTCAATTGCTTTGGATGAAGGAGCATGTAAATCTGAGCATTCACGATGCTAATATGTGCTTCTGCTAGCAAATAGCTAACTAAATTCTATCAATTTAATTAAATGTCACTGAATCAAATGAAATATAAATGGATGAATGAATATAATAAAATGCCTTTGAATCATGTCAGGAAGCCTATAAATATTCACGTTGAGACTACTTAAATTGGGTAATTTCAAATTACATAATTCTATTTTGTTGAAGTTACATGAACAAATTATGTTTGTTTAACGTAATTCAGTTATGTGGAACCTGTTGACAAATTAAAATTAATTAAAGCCAACATATAATTTTTTGGAGTGTAACTTTGTGGGCGGCTGTTTATCAAGCGACGAGAATAATTTTTTGCGAAAAAACAAACAAACATAAATAACGACTTTATTCGAATAATCCTTTTCTTCCTTGGAGGCCTGATGCGAGAGTTCAAGAGATTTACACGACGCATGCGGGAAAACAATTCTCGCGCATGCGTCGTGTAAATCTCTTGAACTCTCGGAAGAAAAGGAATAGTCGAATGAAGTCCTTATTTTTGTTTGTTTGTTTTTTTCGCAAAAAATTATTCTCGTCGCTTTAATAGCTAGTGACCAGGTCCAATAAGGCCTTTTTTTTTTTGCTCACATGACTGTCACCTCCCCTTGCCTCCACACAAACGTTCCCTCACTCATACACATATTGAATAAAAAGGCCACAGATGGAGTGAGGACGTTCCCACCGGAGAGAGCAGCTGAGACGAGGCCTGCAGTCTGTAGACTCAGGCTTATTCTGGACGCCGTCCAAATCTGAAATAAATACAGCCAACAACATACTCAAAGAGTGAGGGATGGCATCACATGGATGTGTGTGTGAAGGATTGGGGAAGTATGAAGTGTTTTGGCTTCTTGCACTGTTGCTTAACCACTCACTCCTGATTGCACTTTTAAAATAAAACACATTTAAACAATTTAAACGCGGAAGAAGAGGCGCAAATCTGAGAGAGAGGTGCGTTTCAAATAGCCTTTTTTTGATTCCTCTTTCGCGGTTCCTCGCACTTGATTGGACACACACAATTATGTCTAAATACCCGTCTCAGCTCGTATTCTCTTGGTTATGTCATGTGTTGAGAAAGAAATCGGACGTTTGTCAGTTTTCTTAGGCCGTGTGTCCACCAAAGCGTTTTTCCACGCGCCTGGCGTATATGTTTTCAATTGTTTTCAATGGGAACGCCGCGTTTTTTAAACGCCATGAGGTGCTGAGCGTTTTTTTCATGCTGAAGCGCCGAGTGCCCGGCGTTTTTACTGGTCGCTGGGAGTTGAAAAATGTTCAACTTTGGATAAAACGCAGCGCTCATCACTGTCACTTTTTACCCAGCCGTCCAATCACAGTGGAGGAGGGGCGGGACTAACACCGTGTCCTAACTACACGAGTTTTTGTCCTAACCAGACGTGACGGCGACACGCGAAGCTTCTAATTTAGAAACGGTTCCTATTTCTACGACGTCGCGGCTGACAGAATGAAGAAATTACACTGGTTATGAGTACACATATTTATTTTTAGTTAAAAATAGGTCACTGCTCATCGAATTAACGTTGAACCAACGTCAGACGCGGCATTCTTCAAAGCTAAATGAAAATCGAAAACTGGTTTGCTTTCATAACGTTGAAACAACGTTGATTTCAAGTTGATTTTCCGTTAGTTTTGAAAGAATGACGCGTCTGACGTTGGTTCAACGTTAATTCGATGAGCAAAACAATGTCAGATCAACGTTGTTTCGATGTCAGGATAATTTACCTCAGATTTTGAAAGCATGTAATATAGCGTTCAAAATGAATTCTATGCAAACATACAATTGTACTTCATAACAAAATTTGTCAAAGAGTATATTTTGTTAGTGTTTAGATTTTTACTAATGTTATTTCTTGATTTGATTATGTCCTTGGTCCTTACCCATTTCCAATGCAAGTGTTGGCCAACAGTGCGCTTTCACGGAGAGACTCGCACACTGTTCTGAATGTGTGGCGTCTCACAGTCGCGTCACGTCTAGTGTGGACAGACACACTTGCTGTCGCTGGAATTTTATCGCGCCGCGTGTAGTTAGGACACGGTGTAATAGAGAGCCTAAGTCCCGCCCCTCCGCTTCCGGCTCATGCGACCTTATTTCGGAAAAAATATGAATGGTAGTCAATGGTGAGAGACAACTTATCTGTTTATTCCGTCTGAACTGTGCCCTCAATTACACATATGATGTTTGTCAATTTAAAAGATAATTCTGAAAGTCAAAAACGTCGCAGTTTGTCATACAACAGAAGAGTAACATTTAGTTTTATGTGAAAATCGGTCTATGAACTACATCTCCCAGAAGCGAAACGAGATCCGCTGCTCGTGTGTGTGCAGTCTGGTACAAAACACTCTGATATGACGGCGTAACGTTATGATTATAACGTAAGACTGTAGAAACAATGACAGACAGCCTCGGTAAAGTTAGCTTTATTCATTGAGAGAAAATGTGCGCCTTTGGGGTTTGTAGTCTTTGTAATGACGTATTTTCAGTCTTATACCTCAACGGTTTCACATCAAACTGCGACTTTCTTTACTTTAAAATGTATCTTTTAAATTGACAAACATCATATGTGTAATTCAGGGCACAATTCAAACCAGATCAAAATATTTGTTGTCTCTCGCCATTGACTACCATTCAATATTTTTCCGAAATAAGGTCCCATGGTGGTCGACCGGAAGGGGAGGGACTTAGGCTCTCTATACCACACCGACCAACAGTCAACATTCAAACTGCTGAGGATATTCTGTATCATAGCAACGAAACGTCTCAACGGAAAAAACGCTGCGCTGCCAAAACGCTCTCAAGCGCCAAAGCACGGCGTCTAGCGTTTTCAGCTGACTAAAAACGCTTTGGTGGACGCACGGCCTTAAAGTGACAGTAGCCTAATATTCCTGCTGGTGTCTGACAAAACCAGTGAAATATCCACTGATTCGGTTCATATTTCATAACCATTTTCTAAACTATAGCGGGTACATTTGGTTGGACTGTAACTCTAATGTTGCTCCTCCATGCGTTTCTCCCTGTAGTTGCTGAACTGCATCATGGATATGGTGGAGAAGACTCGGCGCTCGCTCACGGTGCTCCGCCGCTGCCAGGAGGCGGACCGCGAGGAGATGAACCACTGGATCCGGCGATACAGTGACGTGGAGGATATGAAAAAAGGTGTGAGCTCCTCCCAGCGGCCTCCTCCTCCTCCTCCTCTTCCTCACCACAACTCTTCCTCCTCCAACACTCCTAACAGCAGCGACACACAGCCGATAGGTACATGTGCCGCTGCAGGCCCTCGGCACGCACTCTTACACGCCCATGTCCATCAGCCGACACACCCAAACTATCCAATCTGAGATCATGAGATCCCACATTCAGCACACTTACCTTCAGTGTTGGAGAAAGTAATGCAGTGCAATATTGCGTCACTTAATCGTGTACTTGTTTATACTTTTGCGTTACTGTTTTTTAATCTTACCAGCTGAAGAAATGTTTCCATGAGCCAATATACCCCCCAAAAAATCTAATATTTTCTTATTGGGACCAGATTAGCATGTGATCCCACATTTAGCATTTAGAATATCGTGCAAAAGTTCATTTATTTCAGTAATTCAACTTAAAAGGTGAAACTAATGTATAGACTCATTACATGCAAAGTGAGATATTTCAAGCCTTTATTTGTTATCATTTTGCTGATTATGGCTCACAGATAATTTTGAATTTGGTGTCTTTATAAGCTGAAGTTAAATTACTGAAATAAATGAACTCTTGCATGTTATTCTAATTCACCTGTACCTTCAGTGTTGGGGAAAGTTACTTTGAAAAGTAATGCATTACAATATTGCGTTACTCCCTTAAAAAGTAACTAATTGCGTTACTTCATTTTTTTGAGAAGTAATGCATTACGTTACTTTTTTATCACTCTTACCAGCTGCAGACTATGGAAGCTTGTTTTCGCCACAGAATGAAAAATAAAAAAGGTAATTGCGACTTTTTATCTCGCGATTCTGACTTTATAACACGCAATTGCCACTTTACATCATGCAATTCTGAGATATAAAGTCAAAATTGCGAGATATAAAGTAGCAATTGCGTGTAATAAAGTCAGAATTGCATGATATAAAATCGCAATTGCATGTTATAAAGTCAGAATTGCGAGATATAAAGTCACAATTGAGTGTTAAAAAGTCAGAATTGCATGATATAAAGTCGAAATTGCATGTTATAAAGTCAAAAATGCGAGATATAAAGTCACAATTGAGTGTTATAAAGTCAGAATTGCGAGATATAAAGTCGAAATTGGGTGTAATAAAGTCAGAATTGCGAGATATAAAGTCAGAATGGCGAGTTATAAAGTCACAATTGAGTGTTAAAAAGTCAGAAATGCGAGATATAAAGTCAGAATGGCGAGTTATAAAGTCAAAATTGCGAGATATAAAGTAGCAATTGGGTGTAATAAAGTCAGAATTGCGAGATATAAAGTCAGAATGGCGAGTTATAAAGTCAAAATTGCGAGATATAAAGTAGCAATTGCGTGTTATAAAGTCAGAATTGCGAGATTTAAACTATTCTGAGGGGAAAAAAGTCTTTTTTTCCCCATAGAATTGGCCTGATAAGTTTATATCTCACAATTCTGAGAAAAGATATCAGAATTTCGAGATATAAACTCGCAATTACAAGATATAAATTCGCAATTGTGAGAAAAAAAGTCAGAATTGTGAGATTGTGTGTCTTTATTTCTCAGAATTGCGACTTTATTTCTCACAATTCTGACTTCATATCTCACGATTGTGAGATTAAAAAAAAAAAAAATCGCAATTAGTATTGTTATTTTTTTTTTTTTCAGTGGCGGAAACAAGCTTCCATAGCAGACAGTGGTTTCAATCAGACAACATACCAAAACAAATCTAATCTGTTTTCTTTTTGGGACCAATTTGGCATGTGATCCCACATTTAGGACACAGTTTGTCCTTACCTTAGTGTTTTTGTAACTTTATCTAGGGCCAGCGAATCCTTGTCTGTCACAGTCTGTTCCTAGAGACCCACAGCACTACATATGGGTGTCTCTATAAGCTAACACACCGTATTCCAATCAACAGGTCATTAGCATAGCGATCTATGATTTAAATCAGGTGTCGGATAAGCGAGACATGTGCAGTACTCTTGGTTCCTGGGAATAGTCACCGTCCTAAGCAGGCATGACAACATTTCTGGCAAAGTCATTTTTCTGTTGTCATTGAGAGTAAAAGTCGTGTATGACTCTGCCAGTCGCATGTTCACTGTCTATAATACAGCTATGAGGGACAATAGCTCACGGTTCGGTTTGTATCGCGGTTTTAGGTTCACGGTTCAAATAAGAATACAGGAAATAAGAACAAACAAGCAGCATATAGCGGTGTTCAAAGGCCTTTAAGCACAAAAGCATCATAAGACGTTAAGTTTTATTTAGCATACATTTAACCACTGACATAATAGATGGAAAAGACCATTTACAGCCAATACAGGCAATTTACCATATGGTTTTAAAGCTTTTTAACAGTTATAGCGCCACCTATGGTCCGATCTCGATAAAATTTGGCATGCTTGTTCAGAGTGTTATTTCACAAATGCGCACCAATTTTAGTGAAGTTCTGAGTTATTGTTTAGGATTTACAGGATTTTGCCACGCCCATTTTCTAAACGACCCTGTTATATCCATACGAAAAACGCAAAAGTTCAACCTTTTCCGATAATTAATTATCGAACTACAAGCACCAGCACAAATAGAGCAAAGATACTAATAAAACAAACAGTGCTTTTCAGGTAGGTGTAACATTAGTCTTCAGGTTCAGAAATTTAATAAAGTAGGCTAAACAAATGTAAAATAACATTTAATTGCATATTGACTGTATGAATTAAAGATTAAAGATAACGGTTACTAAACTAGCAGCTAGGTGGAGCGCATCTTAAAGTTACCTTTGTCCGGATTACTGTGTTCCCAACCGTTCCCAACGTGGATCCAAACCGTTAAATGGTTAAAAAAGTGGTGATTTTGTCCACATGGTTTCCCTATTTAACGTTTCCCTATTTAATCCCGGTAAATTCCACATCCTTTTAGGGATTTTAACATCTTTTTTTCACTTCGCTGCTTCTCCTCATTCGACTAGCTGTATGTTTACATTCGCGAAGCTGTCAACATGGCCGCCACCCCAAGTAATGACGTCACGACGCCCAAGCCCTATTCGCACTGGATGAGATATCTCTGTAAAACTAGTAGAAGTGGGAGAGTAACTCGATTTACGCTTCAAATACTTTTTTTTAAACACAAAATGACGTACATATTTACAGCGGGTCTATTCGCACGGGATTAGCATTACCATAACCGAAGGTAAAAGTCGCCGTTATATTATCTGACGTTGTCGTAATGATTACTGAGATGCACATTCGGACGGCACTAAAGTCACAGAGAAGCTCTGGTAATTATTACTTTACCCCTCCTCTCCATGTTACACTAGTGCCGTCCAAATAGGGCTTAAGAAGCTTTTCTCTCACCCCAGGGAAACTCAAGTCGCTCTTTTGATGCTCTTTTACAGAAATCCACAGAGATTTCTTGCACCGGCCCCCTTCAGGATACCTGCCCGAGGAGATCTGGAGAAAAGCCGGTGAGTGCATCCGAACGTCTACACATGCACACAAATACGCCACCCTGGACCACAAAACCAGTCACAAGGGGCAGTGTTTTGAAATTGAGATGTATATTTCACATGAAAGCTGAATACATAAGATTTCCATTGATGTACGGTTTGTTTCAGAGGTGGACAGAGTCAAATATTACCATATAGTGGTAAAGGAGTAAAAGTGGAGAAGAACTCGTTTTTAAGTATCAAAATTAAATGTCAATGCATTGTTTTTATTATTGTTGCATTGTTGTATGTATATGCCCTCATATCACTATATCAATATCAATAACTAGAACACAGTTCCAGTGAGACTGAATAACGTCACCGATGGTTTCAGACACCCTATTTAAAGTGCTTTTAGTATGAATATGTTAGCCGTATAAGCTAGTGGTCTCTAAAATAAGGTCAAAATTTGCATTTAGGAGACCAAACCCCATGATGAAAATGAAAATCAGATTGACGTTAAAGGGATAGTTCACTTTGAAATTAATTTTTGATATGTTTTATCTTACCTCAAGGGCATCCAAGATGTAGGTGTCTTTGTTTCCACAGTATTTTCAATTTTTGACATTTTTCAGTCAAACCGTTGTTGTCTATCAGTCATACACTGGAGGCTAAGGGGGTCCACCAAAGAGCAGCACAGAGAAGTCCAAATTAAACATGATTTAATGACTCGCAAATGTAAGTACACACTGATGGCCTAAGACACGAAACGAGCGGTTTGTGTGAGAAAACCAACAGTATTTATATCGTTTTACCTCTTGTAATCATAGCCATGACAAAATGATCTGACGGGACCATCGCTTTGGTCTGCGCATGCGATGTCACTCTTTGTTTATACAGAGATTTCGGAGGTTTTACCTTTTACTAAACATATTTAGATATACGGGAAACCGCAATGGAAGACGATTTCGGTTTATATCTAAATATGTTTAGTAAAAGGTAAAACTTTTGAAATCTCCGTGTAAATATTGAGTGACGTCACACGCAAGCGATCACTTCCGGCGTAACATTGAACTGATTCAGTTCGGTTCAGTTGGACATCTGACATGATTACAAGAGGTAAAAACGATATAAATACTGTTGGTTTTCTCACACAAACCGCTCGTTTCGTGTCTTAGGCCATCAGTGTGTACTTACATTTACAAGTCATTAAATCATGTTTAATTTGGACTTCTCTGTGCTGCTCTTTGGTGGACCCCCTTAGCCTCCAGTGTACGACTGATAGACAACAACGGTTTGACTGAAAAATGTCAAAATTGAAACTACTGTGGAAACACCTACATCTTGGATGCCCTTGAGGAAAGATAAAACATATCAAAAATTAATTTCAAACTCAACTATCCATAATCTCCAACGTTGGACAGACGTTGTATTGTGGTTGAAAATGAAAATCGGGTTCTGACGTCGCCCCGAAATGCTTGACGTTTCCAACCACGATGCATCCCGTGACTGACGTCGCTACCGTATACTCGAGGACCTTGACCGAAATGCAGAGTAAAAAGTACGATATTCGTCTTTCAAATTAAAGTAAAACATTTCCAGAAAAAAATAACACTCAAGTAAAGTACGGATACGGTTAATGAACTTTGTCACTGTCCACCTCTACAACTATATCTGAGGGTGCAAAGCAACAAATCGAAACATTTTCGAAACACACTTTGCTGCATCAACTCACAAAAATAAACTTAGGGAGGAAATTTACTAAATATCTTCCTACAACATGATCTTTACTTAATATCCTAATGATTTTTGGCAGAAAACAAAAATCGATAATTTTGACCCATGCAATGCATTTTTGGCTTTTGCTCGTGACTGGTTTTGTGGGTCACATGTATGCCGACTGGCCTGCAGGACGTCACAGCTGCAGTTATGCAAGGCCAGGAGGTCGGGGAAGGTCATTAGTGTTGACAGATCTCCATCTGTGACGGCCATGAAAGAGAACTGCCGTCGAGTCTGCAGTGATAATGCAGAAACCTGCAGTCAACAGCAGATCAGCTCAGGTAGAGCCGCAAACGTGACCCGGCCCAAAGAGACCAACAAACAGGGTTTGTACTAGATGCTCAAAATTAATAAAGTACTTGAATTGGACTTTTTGAAATTGAAAAACCCTTGAAAACTGTCATGCAAGTTAGAATATGTTCATTCAACTAAAAAGGTGAAACTAATATATTATATAGACTCATTACATGCAAAGTGAGATATTTCAAGCCTTATTTTGTTATAATTTTGATGATTATGACTTACAATATTCTCATTTTGAATTTTTTTGGGGGGAGGAGGGGGGGGGGTTCATATCTGTAAGCCATAATCATCAAAATTGTAACAAATAAAGGCTTGAAATATCTCACTTTGCATGTAATGAGTCTATATAATATATTAGTTTCACCTTTTTAGTTGAATTACTGAACTTTTGCACGATAATTTAATTTTTCGAGTTTCTTGAAGTATTGAAAGTACGGAGGTGTATTGCATTCACTTGAAGAAAAAAAATCTACTCTGTTTTTCTGAATTAACGAGTTAATTTTTCATGAGAAAAAAGTTTTTGCTCTGTTTTTCTGAATTAATGAGTTAATTTTTCATTTGAAAAAAAGTTTTTGCTCTTTTTTTCTGAATTAACGAGTTAATTTTTCATGGAATTTTTTTTTTGCTCTGTTTTTCTGAATTAACTCGTTAATTCAGCAAAAACTTTTTTTCTCATGAAAAATTAACTCATTAATTCAAAAAACAGCAAAAAAAATTTCTCATGAAAAATTAACTCATTAATTCAGAAAAACAGAGAAAATTTTTTTTTCTCATGAAAAATTAACTCATTAATTCAGAAAAACAGAGACATTTTTTTTCTCATGAAAAATTAACTCGTTAATTCAGAAAAACAGAGTAGATTTTTTTTCTTCAAGTGAATGCAATACGCCTCCAATATATGAGAAATTAGTGTTTAATTTAATCGACAAACATACTTTTCACTCAAAATTAACACTCAAGTCCGTCTGATATAGATATAGAGCCATTTCGCATGGCTATGAGCGTGATATTTCTCATAAACATGATACAGCTTTCATTATTCAGCTCAATGAAATATTGTCATAATGGTTAAAGTTACCAGCTACACTATATTTGTACCACTATTGGTTTAGTTTTTTAGAATATGAAAGATATTAGTTTTATAAGTGAGATCATCTGTACAAACCCTGAAGAAAGGAAAGTGAGGGGAAACACAGCTGGATTGTTCTTGGATTAATCCGTTTTATTATTAAATGTTGGCCATAAAGGTCACACACACAACCCTGATGAGATCAGCCAGAGCACAGGTGGTGTCTCAGGTCAAAGGGCACGTATTAATTGTGACCCACACCAGTAACATTACAGCTGAGAAAAATCAATATGCCATTACTCATTTATTATTCTGCTGTTGTCTGCAAATCTCAGCTGCATTTTCACTGTGACAAAATCCCCTTTAACCCACGCAGGTTCGACAAGTATCCCACTCTCGCCAGCATTAAAGCAGCTTCAGAACAAACAGGGTGAGTAACAGCACCCGAATTACACCTGTACTACCGATGGCCCTGAAGACTTAAAGCGCTGGTATAATGCCCTTTCACAAGATGTAAAATAAGTCCCCAGAGTGTGAGTGTGAAGTGTTAACTCTAAATACCCCACAGATATTGTTATACTACGTTAAAATTGTCACTTTTTGGGTGTGAGCAAAAACGTGACGTTTGTGTGTGTGTGTGTCCCTTTAAATGCAAATGAGCTGCTGCTTCCGGCGCAGGGGGTGGAGCTTCAAGAGCTTGTGTGTGTGTGTGTGCATGTGTATGTGTTAGCAGCTTCGATTACCTCACACACACACATACTCTTGAAGCTCCGCCCCCTCATTTGCATTTAAAGGGGCACACAAACGTTGTGTTTTTGCACACGCACTAAACATTTCAAAAGCTTTATGTTCAATGGAGAGACTCCAGAAGAAGTGACATTTCTGAATGGATAGTTGATGAATTTATGAATCTGATGTGGTGTTAATTATCTTCTAATCATCGATTAGCATATTCTGTCATGATAATCTATAAATCGTGTTCATGGGGGCGGAGTTTATGTAAATTTTAGGGTTAGTGATGTCACTAATCTGGGAAGAAGTTTATTGTAGTCCTTAAAAAACACAGTCTCCCTTTGCTGTAAACTTTGCAGATGTTTATGCTGAAACAGCAACATTACACACTAACTAAAGCTAGAAAAGTGAAATCATGATCAAACACCACTTTAATTGGAGCTCTATCTGGCGTTTCTCCTAAAATCTCTCATTCAAACTAGCAGTCTTGGAAGAATTTGATGAAAAAGATTATTTTTTGACCGAATCTGACCATAGTTTAAAGCATTGACAGGCCTTTTCGGACATTTCGAGGTAAACGGAAAACTGAGATTACTAAAAAATGAGGTTCCTAGGATTTAAAAAACTGGTAACTCGTGTAAAAGTACAAAATACAGTATTCATTACTGTCGTTTCTTTAATTTTCGTACCTGTGAGTGTCTAGATTTCCCTGAAACCGAAAAGAACACAAGAGAATAGTAGAAAGAAAAAAACCTTGAAAACTGAGATATCCCTGTGGGATTAACACATTAATATTGCAGATTTGGCAACTTTTGAAAACACACACAAACACACACACACTCAGTCAGTCAGTAGCCTGAGGCAGAAGCTGAATTGAGAGTGTGTTATGACAGATATTTATGATCGGGCACATCCAGCTTTCTAGAGTAAACACACTATGGTGCAAAGATTGTAGACCACAGACATATGAAAATCTGCAATAATTTGTGTGTGTGTGTGTGTGTGTGTGTAATGCACATGCATTAACAGAACACACAATATCCTGACAGATTCTGAAATCATCCCCATAACCCCACAGTAGTTATTGACATATTGACAACTTTTTTGTGGTTTGTGCTTTTCCAAAGTTACGAGCCACTGGCTATAATTTAGACATTGATACCATTTGGAAAAACTGCCATATAGATATTCTTAATATTATGCCATAATTCGGCAGCAGGGTTAACGTATTAGGCTGCTGTCACTTTAAGAGCTGACGCACGGATCCATTAGCTCAATTTAGTTCTGAGAAGCGCTTTATGTGCCGCACGTTTGGGTTTGAGAACAAAATCTGCAGGAATGAGTCAAATCATGCGCAATACGTGCAAATTCAAGCCCTGTAACACCAACAATATTCATCCGGGGCAAATGAAGGGAGTGAGTGAGGAGAGGCGGGTGTGTGTGTCACACTGTCAGAGAGAGAGAGACGCTGCTATTGTGTGTCTATTCTGCGTGAAATGAGTATCAGAAGAGTTTCAGATATTTCAAGATTGATATCAACATCAAAAGATTTTTGAAAAACACTATAGATAGAGTGCCGAAGTGATGACGTCACTTCGTAGGACAACTCGTAAGCTAGCGGCGCATGGGTTCCCTCGGTCGAAAAGCAATGCATTTTCATCACGTTTTGTCTAACAAGATAATCTTTACAAGTTAATCCAAAATTTATAGATTTTGAAGCCTATATAAAGATTTTAAAAAAAACACCACAGACCTTATTTCAGGCGATTTAGCAAAAACCCATTCAAAAATCCCATAGGCTTTAGAGCGAGGGAACCGTAATGCTAAAATGCTAACTCACGTCCGCGTTTTGGCCTACAGAGTGACGTCGGCACTCTATTGCACTTAGTTTATTATTTCAGATGCTTTTTAAAAGACTATGTAGGCTATATATATATAAAACTGGCTAAGAGGAGTGACTTCTACGGAGGCGTATTGCATTCACTTGAAGAAAAAAAAAATCTACTCTGTTTTTCTGAATTAACGAGTTAATTTTTCATGAGAAAAAAAATTTTGCTCTGTTTTTCTGAATTAACGAGTTAATTTTTCATGAGAATTTTTTTTGCTCTGTTTTTCTGAATTAATGAGTTAATTTTTCATGAGAAAAAAAGTTTTTCTCTGTTTTTCTGAATTAATGAGTTAATTTTTCATGAGAAAAAAAGTTTTTGCTCTGTTTTTCTGAATTAATGAGTTAATTTTTCATGAGAAAAAAAGTTTTTGCTCTGTTTTTCTGAATTAACGAGTTTATTTTTCATGAGAAATTTTTTTTTGCTCTGTTTTTCTGAATTAATGAGTTAATTTTTCGTGAGAAAAAAAGTTTTTGCTCTGTTTTTTCTGAATTAACTCATTAATTCAGAAAAACAGAGCAAAAACAAATAATCCATGAAAAATTAACTCATTAATTCAGAAAAACAGAGCAAAATATTTTTTTTCTCATGAAAAATTAACTCATTAATTCAGAAAAACAGAGCAAAAAAAAATTTCCATGAAAAATTAACTCGTTAATTCAGAAAAACAGAGCAAAAACTTTTTTTTCTCGTGAAAAATTAACTCATTAATTCAGAAAAACAGAGCAATTTTATTTTTCTCATGAAAAATTAACTCATTAATTCAGAAAAACAGAGCAAAAAAAAAATTTCCATGAAAAATTAACTCGTTAATTCAGAAAAACAGAGCAAAAACTTTTTTTTCTCGTGAAAAATTAACTCATTAATTCAGAAAAACAGAGCAATTTTATTTTTCTCATGAAAAATTAACTCATTAATTCAGAAAAACAGAGTAGATTTTTTTTTCTTCAAGTGAATGCAATACGCCTCCGTAGACTTCAGTACCAAGTGCAATATATACATTTTTTGTATGATTTTTACACTCTGCTTGTGTTTGCTTTATGCTTTTTCACCAATTCTGCATTGGGTTTTGGCCAAACACAGAGCATCTTTGAAGGCAGAATGTGTGTCTGCTACGGTTTGGATCCGACTCGCATTGGGAATGTGCTTTAAATGTGCTTTAGGTCACGAGGTCTCAGAGCTAAAAGTTCACATTAGAAAGGTTATAGACCCTGCACTGCAGGAACCCTAATGTGAAGACACTCGTACACCTGCATGTCCTGAAAACACATGGACACACACACACACACACTCAATGGCATCCTGGTTTTTGGAGTGATTCAGGTTTAAAAGCTACTTTTGTAACACTTTACAATAAGTTTCATTTGTTAACATTAATGTATTAACTAACATAAACTAATTGTTACAGTGTTTATTAATCTTTGCCGTATTATGTTCATGTTAGTTCACAGTGCATTAACTAATGTTAAGAAATACAACCTTTGATTATCATAATGTATATATAATGAACATGAATATTATTGTAAAGTGATACCAAAATATCGAATCATATATTGTTAGGCAAGCCTGTGCGTATCTACAGTGTATCAACACTGGAAATAACTGTAAACACTGTCGTTCGGGATTAATTATTAATAGCTCATTTATCTGTCAGAATGTTTTAAATCTTGGATGATGTACATGTGTTCGGAGAGATGAAACAAGCCGGAAGCTTTGAGTGCCTCAATAAAGGATGTTGAGAGGAACTATAGGGATAATGTCTTATTTTATCCTCTTGATATTCTTCATTTTCACAAACTCTGAATCAACACGCACCAATGCTATATTTTCTATGTGTCATAATCATTTGCTAACAAACAAGTATTCAGTACTTCAGTAAGCTCATTGTTTCTGCATTAAATTATTACATTGTTTAAATTTAACTGTGATTTTGTAGATAACTTACACCGTGTCCTCACTACACGCGCCTCGCGATAAAATGCCTCAGAGTTTTTGCCGCGACATGCGACGACTCTGTTTTAGAAACGGTTTCTATTTTTCTGCGACGTTGCGCTGGAACAACAAACGCAAAGTGTGGCGATGCTAATCTCAGGCTCTGTTTATGTGTTTTATTTAATGTTGAAAGCGTGTAATGGGACTTTGGGCTGCTCAATTAATGAAAAAATTTCACATGACTTTAGGAACGTGTTGCATTTATTAAAAAGACACCGAAAGATTTTGAAAAAAATCGAAATTTGAACATTTATTGTACTTTAATTATTAAAATAATCAATTAATTAACTGATAATTTATTATTAGTTCATTAATTAATAATTAACAGATAATACTTTAATAAGTATTATAATCATTCCCATTAGGAGACCAGCCACCGGGGGGCGATCGAGACCCTGGATTTATGGGCTATACTGGGACCAGCCACCGGGGGGCATTCGAGACTCTGGGTTTATGAGCTATACTGGGACCAGCCACCGGGGGGCAATCGAGACTCTGGGTTTATGAGCTATACTGGGACCAGCCACCGGGGGGCATTCGAGACTCTGGGTTTATGGGCTATACTGGGACCAGCCACCAGGGGGCGATCGAGACTGGGTTTATGAGCTATACTGGGACCAGCCACCGGGGGGCGATCGAGACTCTGGGTTTATGAGCTATACTGGGACCAGCCACCGGGGGGCGATCGAGACTCTGGGTTTATGGGCTATACTGGGACCAGCCACCGGGGGCGATCGAAACTCTGGGTTCATGAGCTATACTGGGACCAGCCACTGGGGGCGATCGAGACTGGGTTTATGGGCTATACTGGGACCAGTCACCGGGGGGCGATCGAGACTCTGGGTTTATGGGCTATACTGGGACCAGCCACCGGGGGGCGATTGAGACTCTGGGTTTATGAGCTATACTGGGACCAGCCACCGGGGGGCATTCGAAACTCTGGGTTTATGAGCTATACTGGGACCAGCCACCGGGGGGCGATCGAGACTCTGGGTTTATGAGCTATACTGGGACCAGCCACCGGGGGGCATTCGAAACTCTGGTTTATGAGCTATACTGGGACCAGCCACCGGGGAGCAATCGAAACTCTGGGTTTATGAGCTATACTGGGACCAGCCACTGGGGGCGATCGAAACTCTGGGTTTATGAGCTATACTGGGACCAGCCACCGGGGGCAATCGAAACTCTGGGTTTATGAGCTATACTGGGACCAGCCACCGGGGCAATCGAAACTCTGGGTTTATGAGCTATACTGGGACCAGCCACCGGGGGGCAATCGAAACTCTGGGTTTATGAGCTATACTGGGACCAGCCACCGGGGGGCAATCGAAACTCTGGGTTTATGAGCTATACTGGGACCAGCCACCGGGGGGCGATCGAGACTCTGGGTTTATGAGCTATACTGGGACCAGCCACCGGGGGACATTCGAAACTCTGGGTTTATGAGCTATACTGGGACCAGCCACCGGGGGGCAATCGAGACTCTCTGGGTTTATGAGCTATACTGGGACCAGCCATCGGGAGGCGCTTCGGTTTCATTTTTCAGCACTTGTGCGGCACGCTTAGTTAGGACACAGAGTTAGACAGTCTCCTCTGATAACAGATCACTGTAAATTGTGGACTCATGCATTTTCTGTAAAGCTGCTTTGAAACGATGTGTATTGTGAAAAGCGCAACACAAATAAACAAGAATTGAATTTTCAGAGGCAGTGAATGAAGTGAAGAGGGTGTTGAGAGGATCCACAGGGATAACGTCTTGTTTTCTTCCTCATTTCCAGAGGAGGCAGTGAATGAGGTGAAGAGGCAGGCCATGTCGGAGCTGCAGAAAGCGGTGTCGGACGCCGAGAGAAAAGCTCACGAGATGATCTCGGCTGAGCGGTCTAAGATGGAGAGAGCTCTGGCCGAGGCCAAGAGACAGGCGTCCGAGGACGCGCTGACCGTCATCAACCAGCAGGAGGACTCCAGCGAAGTGAGTAACAAACACACAACCCATGTTCGGGGGAAATCGCCATTCGAACTTACACCGATTCGAATTAGGGGTGTAACAATATATCATGTGACAATATATCGCAATACAAAAATGCAACAGTATCGTGGATAGTTCACCTTATTAAACTACTATATAATGTTATAATGATGCAATGAGGGAACATTTGTGGGTCCTGATAATGCCAAATATATGATGTTACCAGTATAAAATGGCCAAAATTATTTAAAATATACCTAATCAGTGAAAGAGTGCAAGCATATATATCTAAAATAATTCAGTTTTCAGCTTCAGAATCATTCGGAGTCTCTATTGTCCTGTGCTTTGGGTTTCAGCACCATATCCAAGAATATTCATTTACACACACAATGATAGACCAAATTTAGCATTTTAACCCTCAGGCGCTCTTCGGTCATTTCTGACCGAAAAATTTTCTGTTTTGAAATTTCTAAAAATCACAGCTTCATCAGAATGTTACGAAACTTGGTGACTTTTATGGCATTGGGTATGTGAACACAAAAAAAAATTGAGGTCATGATCCGAGCAGGCTAAGTAGTCGTAAAAAAAAATAGTCACACTTTTGATCTTTGGTCAAAAATGACCGTGAATTTAAAAAAAAAAAGTGAATTTTTGTTTTTTTGTCAATTTTTTTTATAAGAAATAGTTTTTGAGATTGTTCCAACTATATATTCAAATCCACCAACAACAACAAAAAAACTGTTCATAAGCAGCTGGGGAATTCACATGATTCTCCATAGAGAGCTGTACATGCCATCTAGTGGTTACACCATGATTCTACGTTTTTCTCTATACTGTAACCAGATGGTGCTAATTTTCTTCAAAAAATATTTTTTTTCTGAAGGCCCAGACTCTATATTAAACTAAAATACTGCATTAATATTTTTTTGAAAAAAATAATATATATATATATATATATAAAAAAATATATATATTTTTCCATGGCAAAAATAAACCATAAATATTGCATAAATAATAATAAATTCAATTAAATTGTCTCAAAATACTAAATTAAAAAGAATAAATATTATAGAACAAAAATTAATTGCATTGGTTTTACTAGGATGGAGAAAGTTTCATTTTTAGGTGTCCGGTCACTTTTGACCGAGAAGATAACAAGTGTGACTCCGAAACGAAGAGCACCTGAGGGTTAATCAACAGTAAAACATTTCGTTAACCTTATGTATTGGAGTATCGCCATAATATCGTATTGTGATATGTATCGAATCGTAACATGAGGGTATCGTTACACCCCTAATAGATATTGATACTTATTGGTTTGTCAATAATAACAGTCCGTGTCTCTCCCGCAGAGCTGTTGGAACTGCGGTCGCAAGGCTAGCGAGACGTGCAGCGGATGCAACACCGCGCGCTACTGCGGCTCGTTCTGCCAGCACAAGGACTGGGAGAAGCACCATCACGTGTGCAGTCAGGGCCTGACCGTGCCGATCGGGACGCCCTCCTCCACCTCCTCGTCGTCATCATCCAGTGTCCCGCCCACTCGCTCTGAGAGCACTCCTCCAGGCCCGCTGTCCAGCGCCAGTCCTAAAGACGCGAGCTCATGTAGCGTTTCTCGCTCCACCACTCCTGCAACTCCCGCTCTGATGGACTCCTCGTCCCGTTGACTGATGAACCCCGAGTGCTGAACCACGTCTACTAGTGTTGTCGAAAGCGCCGATTACGGTACCAAGTCGGTACTGAAATTTTCAAAATGTGAGTGCAATCGTAAACTCCTCTGACTGGCCGTTGTGTTTACACGCTCATGGGATATGTCTGTGATTGGCTACAATGCTTTATTTTTAAACGTGTTAGCAAGCGATAGCGCTTTTTTTTACGTTCGAAAATTGATTGCTTTTTAATATTCGCTATTACTCCAACGCAAGTGAACAAGCACGCCGTTGTTTGTTGCGTACTGACGTGTGTTCAAGTAAGCCAGAAATGCGCAGATTCTGCGATACGAGTTGCGTATTCGCGCTACATCTACGCAGATTTGGCTTACACGAACTTCCCCAGCAAAGTGAGTAAACATAGAAACCCGCCAGATTGGCTCGTGATTGGACAGCGTTTCCCGCCAAAGTTCATTTGTACTGCATTTGGCGAGTTGCGCTCCTGTTTGTCACTGTGCACAAAACCAATAAATCATCAAAAATATTGCTGACTTGTGCGTCTCAAGCGCCCTCTTTCCACTCGTCCTAATGCCTGTGAGGTGTCCGTGGATTTGCCTGTATTTGGTGTTGAAAATGGACACGGAAAATCGATTCAATTAAAAAATTGAACAGGTTTTTATTCACAAAAGTGAAGAGCGTATGTATATTTACAACATTTTTTGAAGCGCTGATCATTTCTAGCCAATCACTGACATATTTGATGAGCATATGAACACAGCGGCCAATCAGAGGAGTTTACGATTCCGCTCAAAGCATCACATTTTTCAAATTTCAGAACCGACTTGGTACTTTTGACAATGCTAACGTCTACTGCTGCTACAGCATCTTTCATCCAAAACTAGCTGAGGAACCTCCACTGTACTCACCCGTCCTCTCGTAACGACCTGGCTTTCACGTCTACGTTAAGCTCTTGTGTTTCTAAATGCTCAAAAAGCTCGACATGAGCAGGGAAAGCCAGGGAACAGTTACACACGTTTATTCATGTTTTAAGACATTGCCTCAACACCCTTTAAGTGAGGTTTGCTCTGTGAGAACTGGAGAAGCACCACCAGTCAAAAGATTCGGATTGGTAACATTTTTAATGTTAAAAAAAAAAAACAATTAGCAATATATAAAATGTGAATATTTGATCCTGTGATCAAATCTGAATTTTTAGCATCAGTGTCACATGATCCTCCAGAAATCAATCTAATATGATGATTTGATGCTCAGGACACATTTATAATTATTATCATGTTGAAAACTAAACATTTAAATAACATTTTCAACATTGATAATTATGAGAAATGTTTATTGAGCAGCAAATCATCATAGAGTGAATTCTGAAGAGTCTATTTCACAATATTACTGTTTTTTGTTGTATTTTTAATCAAACAAATGCAGCTTTGGTGAGCAGAAAAAAAAAAAAAAACCATTAAAATGCGTTACCGATCCAAAACGTTTGCCTGGTGGTGTGTGTAGTTCGGATTCCTGTACATTGAAAGGTTAAACAGAACCACAGAGCAACTTTGCATTTAATTTCTTTGGCTTTAATTAAAACAAACGAAACGTTCAAAAATCCACCAAAAGAAATAATAATAATAATAATGATAAGAAGAAGAAGAAGAACCTGTTAACTACCTTGCTAGCGAGCCAAGAAAATCTACACCAGACTCACCTCTCTGTACTGACGTGAACCCAAATGAAAACAAGAAGAAAGAAAATGATCCAAACCTTTTTATTATTACACTGCCAAAGTTACGAAGAAGCACTCATCTTGTAACCAAACGCAAACAACTTCACCGCCTCAGCAGAAACTGAATAACCAGTGACTAGAAGCTCGAACCTTTGCCGAGTTCCCGCTCGGATCTCGAGGAACGCCCGGATTCAGAGTGACGTTTAAAGCACGAAGAGAAAAGGCGAGGATTAGCAAACGAAAAGGCAACGAAACTGCCAAAAAACCTCAACGGATTGTACACTAAGAACGAGCCTTTTCTTCTGAGACATTTTCGTTTTTTGTTGTACGATTTCACTCGTTTTCCAAAGCATGACTTTAGAGACTGGCGTAGACTTGGTTCTCTCTTCTCTCGCTCTTTCTACCTCCCCCCTGTTATATGCTCATCCCTTTTGTCTCCTGACAGAAGCTCAAATCCATGAAGGGATCAAACGTCGCTTGTAGATATTACTTTGTTTCTTGGATGTCTCTGTCTTCGATTTCTGCTTGTGTGCGTTCTCCGAATACGGGACGCCATTTTTTTTTTTTTGTCTTCTTTTAGGTTTCAGCCGAACATTGGACAGAAAAAGACACTCTTTTAACGGGAGAGAAGCTGTGTTGTACCTATTGTTGGATTTGTTGTATCAATATTGATGATGAGAATCCTCATGTAGAATATTTTATACCGCTCGCATTGTAAGACAGTGAGAGAACGGAGGTGCAATATGGAAAGAGAATTCAGCTACTGAATTGAACCTCAGAAAAACGGCCCTTAGGGTACCTTATAATATAAATATACATATAAATATATCTAAAAAATTACCATGGTTAAATTAATGTGAATGTACATAGTATTTAAAAAAAAAGAGGTCCAAAAATGAGTTTGCCAAATAACAGAAACCTTTAAAGTATAATGTCTAGAATTTCATTTCTCTCCATTTGATCTTTTCTGTCTTGAATGATCATTTTACAACGTGTGGGATTTTGCTGACGCTTTCGTAGCCATAAGCGAACGGCATCGCTTCAACGACACGCCAAACTGACCTGGCGAGTTCCCAAACTGGGACACCACTAGAATCTGTGTGAAACATTGCCATCCTTTGGGCCAAAGTGTCACTGCAGTGGTTCAATGTGTAATTTCTTTGCACACACATGCATGCACATACAATCACAAAACCAAACCCTCGATTATCCAAGAGTCAAGCAAACACTATGATGGTTCTCAACTGGTACCAAGACTTTTTTACTTGTGAACGTTGAACTAAACATGATATTGCAGTCTGGAAAACATCAATACAAGCTTCATGTTTGTTAAAGGTAAAAATATCCCTGTTTACAGCCTTTGTTTTGGTCAATTTCTGATTCACAATGGCGTACCTTTGATTACGGACCAAACGTCCTGTTTGTTGCTCTAGGTTTGAACTCACCCTGGAAATATCAGGAACACATGACCCGGACAATATTAAAACACCAGTCTGATGAAGTAGGTGTCTCTCTCTCTACCTCTCTCCCGCCATTTTGAGGATTTTTTTTGATGAACCATCGTCTCTTTGCCTACTAGCTACCTCCCGTAAACAAACCCAAATCAAACCACTAGCAGACATGCAAATCGAGCAAAACCAGGAGCGTGTTTCCCGACCGATTTCGTGCTTCGCTATCACAGTACGACGCATCGTTGAAGAAATCAACTAGCCCGAAACCATATTGTCGCAAATTGTTCGTTGGTTAATGATGTCATGCATGTGGTGGAGTAATAACGGTACTTTCCTGTTATCCGGACCCCACCATATACCATTTAGGAACTATAGTCATCCCTGATTGGTCGTAACCCCAGTGACGGGTAGGTTTAGGGGCGGGGTTAGGGGTAGGCCATCGTCCCTGATTGGTCTTAACCCCAGTGACGGGTAGGTTTAGGGGCGGGGTTAGGGGTAGGCCATCGTGGAGTCCGGATCCCACCATATACCATTTAGGAACTATAGTCATCCCTGATTGGTCGTAACCCCAGTGACGGGTAGGTTTAGGGCGGGTTAGGGGTAGGGCCATCGTCCCTGATTGGTCTTAACCCCAGTGACGGGTAGGTTTAGGGGCGGGGTTAGGGGTAGGCCATCGTGGAGTCCGGATCCCACCATATACCATTTAGGAACTATAGTCATCCCTGATTGGTCTTAACCCCAGTGACGGGTAGGTTTAGGGGCGGGGTTAGGGGTAGGCCATTGTGGGGTCCGGATAACAGGAAAGTACCGTAATAACTTATTTTAATGAATCTGTTTGAGATGGAATTAATTTTAGATGATTTTCTATAAATTACAGACATTCATCTGAGGAATATTTGTCATTTTTATCAGTTATTTTGCTTTATTTCCGGCTCGTTCTCACTTAGGTAGAGCTCGTTCACACATGCAATAAACAACGCTTTCAATCTCTCGACAAACTAAAAGACGTAAATGACATTTGTATGTATCCTAAATAAAAGATACAGATTGTACTGAATGTCAGCTTTTTTAAAGGATGTATTGAGTCCACATGTCATGCGAACATGAAACTCACACACACAACTCTGCGACGCGGATGTTCGCTGAAACAACGACTCGTTGAACTGCTGATAACGAGAGCGTTAGTTGGCTAACGAACGATGCTTTCGGGAAGATTTCCGAATCGAAAACTATCCTCAGTTCTCAAGGGTGTGATAGACTTACATTTATAAGTCTGTGCCATTAAATATATTGTATTATTGTTGAGGTAGCTAGCTATAAACATTGACGTAAGACACTCTTCAAAGCAACTGTAAACTTGGAACTGTTGAACCCCTGAACATAAACATATCTCATAAATATCCAAAATGATAAAAGCACAGACCAAAGCATAACGCATAAAAAAGGCAGACGGACACATGGGAGACCGACCGACATAAACCAAAGTGTACAAAATGACCATGTTGAAAGCACAAACACATCGAGGGAAGAGATCCGGCATCCAAAGCATCAGATGACAGTGATTTAAACCAACCTTCCTCAATGCAGATGAATGCATGAGTGTGTGAGTTAGAGATGCTTTCTATTAAGGGACTTACTTGAATATCCAGAGCTTTAAAATAACACAGTTGCGATAAACTCATTTCGAGCTTTGCGTGTCTGCTAGTCCACAACTCATGCAAGCATAGACTGTATGTTTGCAATATTTGTTGGCCATTCTGTTCTATAACCAAAACAAGAGCATGCAAATGCATCTTTACACTGTGTACTGTAATTCTGCTGTCATTCGGCCCTCGTTCTCAAAATTAATCTCTTGATTCGGTCAGCATTTGGCCTTGTCAGGGGACACAAGTTCAAAGGTTGACATCGGAGAGAGAGAGAGAGAGAGAAACGACATCCTACACGTTCATAAAAGTAAAATATTTTTTCAAAAAGACAACATTTTAATGCACATCACTAATGTTGTCCAGCCTCACTAATGCAATCTATAACATCCACTAAGGCTGTAGTAGCAGAAGCCTTACACTACTGTAAAGCATTGAACATGCAATGCACATGATAAACGCCATAACTAGCCAAGGCTTGGTTTGATACGTTGATGATTATACTGTATTGTGCAATACATCATTACAGGAGAAGGCATTGATTCAGTCGGAAAGGTTGGTGTGTTAAAAATGTTTCTTGTTTTCTCTTTCGAGGTCCTGTTATCATTCTCTAGATGATGTGAACTGTGCCAGGAGAGTTTTATTTATTTATTTCTTGCATGCTCTTTCCCCCACTTTTGCAATTCCCTCGCCCTCTCTTACTGTGCGCTTTGTTGGACATGTGACGCTGTAAACATTCTAAATCAGGTTATTGTCTGTGTTGAGATCTGCGTATCTGTGTAATTAAAAAGACAGTGAAATATGACGAGTCTCTGAATTTGCTTTTTTTCACCATAGAAGACCTGAAAATCCAGCTTTGAGATGAGTGAGTGAGTGAGTGGGTGGAGGCGGAGCTCATTTGCATATTCATAAAACCGTGAATACTAAATGAGGTGTCGAGTTACGTTCAAGATTTTTTTTTTTCAAGGAAAAACATTTAAATATGTAATTGTGGTGATCAAAGATGAGTTTTAAGGCACCAAATTATTGACTAAAGGGGGACTTTAAAGGGATACTCCACCCAAAAATTTAAATTATGTCATCATCTACTCACCCTTATGTTGTTCAAAACCTGTATGAGTTTCTTCTGTCGAACACAAAAGAAGATATTTTGAAGTATAACCAAACGGTTAATGAGACTTCCATAGTATGGAAAATATAAATACTAATGGGGTTCATTACCGACATGCTTCAAAATATCTTATTTTGTGTCCAGGGTGAGTTAATGCTAACATATTTTTATTTTTGGATGAACCAATCAGTTGAAACCATTTTTACAAGTTGACATCATTTTTATAAGTTTTATAGGCCTACAAACTGTCTTGCCATTAACCAGAATTCATAATCAATGAAACTTAGGCATTTAATAGGAATCTTTAACACATTTCTAGAATTTATATGGCATATTCTTTTTGACTATTTTGGTTTTTCTATAACCTCAACATCCTTTAGGGATTTTTACAGTAGGGTATAAAGGTGTATTTATGTTACGAAATCTGTAAACTCACAAAGATCAAATAAAAGTACACAATATCCAATAGTACTTAGGCTATAAGAAAATGTTTACGTTTATCCAGCGGATCTTATGTTTTTATTTAGAGGATTATATTTGTTTCCAGTTGGATCGGCAAATTAGATCTTCCCCCCAAAATTAAGGATTTTTTGACGATTTGAAATCTCAACATATTTCAGGGGTAAATATTCAAATAAACGATTATAATGTATTTAAACAAAATTAAAGTGTTTTACAAAAAAAGTGCAATCACACCTGTTTCTTCTACACACTCACACGTTGTGTTGATTAGTCAGACAGGTGTGTTAGTTAATAGTTAAGGGCTGATCGGGAAGCTGTTGGAGCTGATGTTGAAAACGAACGCGGATTCACCAGGTAAAGTTTCACACACTCACTAACGAGGGAAATATACATTTTCTGTCGTTGTAAACAACATTTAAATCGTTAAATA